TTCCTAACACTGTGAAACTGGTCTGTCTGTCGTTCTAACACTGTGAAACCTGTCTGTCTGTTGTTCCTAACACTGTGAAGGGCTCTGTCTGTCTGTTCCTAACACGGTGAAACCTGGTCTGTCGCTGTTTCTAACACTGTGAAACCTGTCTTCTGTCTGTTCCTAACACTGTGAAACCTGTCTGTCTGTCTGTTCCTAACACTGTGAAACCTGTCTGTCTGTCTGTTCCTAACACTGTGAAACCTGTCTGTCTGTCTGTTCCTAACACTGTGAAACTTCTGTCTGTCTGTGTCCTAACACTGTGAAGGGCATCTGTCTGTCTGTTCCTAACACTGTGAAACCTGTCTGTCTGTGTCCTAACACTGTGAAGGCATCTGTCTGTCTGTTCCTAACACTGTGAACACTGTCTGTCGTTCCTAACACTGGTGAAACCTGTCTGTCTGTCTGTCCTAACACTGTGAAACCTGTCTGTCTGTCCTGTTCCTAACACTGTGAAACGTCTGTCTGTTGTTCCTAACACTGTGAAGTCCTGTCTGTCTTTCCTAACACTGTGAAACCTGTCTGTCTGTTTCCTAACACTGTGAAGGGATCTGTCTGTCTGTTCCTAACACTGTGAAACCTGTCTGTCCTTTTCCTAACACTGTGAAGGGCACTCTGTCTGTTCCTAACACTGTGAAACCTGTCGTCTTCTGTCCTAACACTGTGAAACCTGTCTGTCTGTCGTTCTAACACTGTGAAACCTGTCTGTCTGTCTGTTCCTAACACTGTGAAACCTGTCTGTCTGTTTCCTAACACTGTGAACATGTCTGTCTGTTCCTAACACTGTGAAACCTGTCTGTCTGTTCCTAACACTGTGAAGGGCATCTGTCTGTCTGTTCCTAACACTGTGAAACCTGTCTGTCTGTTCCTAACACTGTGAAGGGCATCTGTCTGTCTGTTCCTAACACTGTGAAACCTGTCTGTCTGTCTGTTCCTAACACTGTGAAACCTGTCTGTCTGTCTGTTCCTAACACTGTGAAACCTGTCTGTCTGTTCCTAACACTGTGAAGGCATTCTGTCTGTCTGTTCCTAACACTGTGAAACCTGTCTGTCTGTTCCTACACTGTGAAGGCATCTGTCTGTCGTTCCTAACACTGTGAAACTCTGTCTGTCTGTTCCTAACACTGTGAAACTTCTGTCGTCTGTTCCTAACACTGTGAAACTGTCTGTCTGTCTGTTCCTAACACTGTGAACCTCTGTCTGTGTCCTAACACTGTGAAGGGCATCTGTCTGTCGGTTCCTAACACTGTGAACCTGTCTGTCTGTCTGTTCCTAACACTGTGAAACCTGTCTGTCTGTCTGTTCCTAACACTGTGAAACCTCGTCTGTCTGTCCTAACACTGTGAAGGGATCTGTCTGTCTGTTCCTAACACTGTGAAACCTGTCTGTCTGTCTGTTCCTAACACTGTGAAGGGCATCTGTCTGTCTGTTCCTAACACTGTGAAACCTGTCTGTCTGTTTCTAACACTGTGAAACCTGTCTGTCTGTTCCTAACACTGTGAAACCTGTCTGTCTGTTCCTAACACTGTGAAACTGTCTGTCTGTTCCTAACACTGTGAAACTGTCCTGTCTGTTCCTAACACTGTGAAACATCTGTCTGTCTGTTCCTAACCTGTGAAGGCATTCTGTCTGTCGTTCCTAACACTGTGAAACCTGTCTGTCTGTCTGTTCCTAACACTGTGAAACCTGTCTGTCTGTCTGTTCCTAACACTGTGAAACCTGTCTGTCTGTTCCTAACACTGTGAAGGGCATCTGTCTGTCTGTTCCTAACACTGTGAAACCTGTCTGTCTGTTTCCTACACTGTGGAGGGCAACTCTGTCTGTCTGTTCCTAACACTGTGAAACTGCTGTCTGTCTGTTTCCTAACACTGTTGAAGGGCACTGTCTGTCTGGTTCCTAACACGTGAAACCTGTCTGTCTGTTCCTAACACTGTGAAGGGCCATCTGTCTGTCTGTTCCTAACACTGTGAAACCTGTCTGTCCTGTCTGTTCTAACACTGTGAAACCTTGTCTGTCTGTTCCTAACACTGTGAAGTCTGTCTGTCTGTTCCTAACACTGTGAAACCTGTCTGTCTGTTCCTAACACTGTGAAGGGCATCTGTCTGTCTGTTCCTAACACTGTGAAACCTGTCTGTCCTGTTCCTAACACTGTGAAGGCATCTGTCTCGTCTGTTCTAACACTGTGAAACCTGTCTGTCTGTCTGTTCCTACACTGGTGAACCTGTCTGTCTTCTGTTCCTAACACTGGAAACCTGTCGTCTGTCTGTTCCTAACACTGTGAAACGGCATCTGTCTGTCTGTTCCTAACACTGTGAAACCTGTCTGTCTGTTCCTAAACAACTGTGAAGGGCATCTGTCTGTCTGTTCCTAACACTGTGAAACCTGTCTGTCTGTCTTTCTAACACTGTGAAACCTGTCTGTCGTCTGTTCCTAACACTGTGAAACCTGTCTGTCTGTCCTAACACTGTGAACCTGTCTGTCTGTTCCTAACACTGTGAAGGGCATCTGTCTGTCTGTTCCTAACACTGTGAAACCTGTCTGTCTGTCTGTTCCTAACACTGTGAAACCTGTCTGTCTGTCTGTTCCTAACACTGTGAAACGGGTAAATCTGGCTCTGTCTGTTCCTAACACTGTGAAACCTTGCCTCATCTGTCTGTCTGTTCCTAACACTGTGAAACCTGTCTGTCTGTGCTGTTCCTAACACTGTGAAACCGATCTGTCCTGTCTGTTCCTAACACTGTGAAACCCTCTGTCTGTCTGTTCCTAACACGTGAAACCTGTCTGTCTGTCTGTTCCTAAACACTGTGAACCTCTGTCTGTCGTTCCTAACACTGTGAAACCTGTCGTCTGTTCAACACTGTAACTGTCTGTCTGTCTGTTCCTAACACTGTGAAACCTGTCTGTCTGTCTGTTCCTAACACTGTGAAACCGCTGTCTGTCCGTTCCTAACACTGTGAAACCTGTCCTGTACTGTTCTGTTCCTAACACTGTGAAAACCTGTCTGTCTGTCTGTTCCTAACACTGTGAAACCTGTCTGTCTGTTTCTAACACTGTGAAACCTGTCTGTCTGTATGTTCCTAACACTGTGAAGGGCATCTGTCTGTCTGTTCCTAACACTGTGAAACCTGTCTGTCTGTCTGTTCCTAACACTGTGAAACCTGTCTGTCTGTTTCTAACACTGTGAAACCTGTCTGTCTGTCTGTTCCTAACACTGTGAAACCTGTCTGTCTGTCTGTTCCTAACACTGTGAAACCTGTCTGTCTGTCTGTTCCTAACACTGTGAAACCTGTCTGTCTGTCTGTTCCTAACACTGTGAAACCTGTCTGTCTGTCTGTTCCTAACACTGTGAAACCTGTCTGTCTGTATGTTCCTAACACTGTGAAGGGCATCTGTCTGTCTGTTCCTAACACTGTGAAACCTGTCTGTCTGTCTGTTCCTAACACTGTGAAACCTGTCTGTCTGTTTCTAACACTGTGAAACCTGTCTGTCTGTATGTTCCTAACACTGTGAAGGGCATCTGTCTGTCTGTTTCTAACACTGTGAAACCTGTCTGTCTGTTTCTAACACTGTGAAACCTGTCTGTCTGTATGTTCCTAACACTGTGAAACCTGTCTGTCTGTTCCTAACACTGTGAAGGGCATCTGTCTGTCTGTTCCTAACACTGTGAAACCTGTCTTGTCTGTTCCTAACACTGTGAAACCTGTCTGTCTGTTCCTAACACTGTGAAGGGCATCTGTCTGTCTGTTCCTAACACTGTGAAACCTGTCTGTCTGTTCCTAACACTGTGAAAGGCATCTGTCTGTGTTTCTAACACTGTGAAGGGCATCTGTCTGTCGGTTCCTAACACTGTGAAGGGCATCTGTCTGTCGGTTCCTAACACTGTGAAGGGCATCTGTCTGTCGGTTCCTAACACTGTGAAGAATGTTGGGAGAAAGAGATGGCTTTACACTTTATGTGCTGTTAAACATTTCTCTCTCTCTCTCTCTCTCCATTTCTCTCCTTCTTTCTCTCCCCCTCAACTCTCTCCCCTCCCTACTCGTCCCCCCTCTCTTCTCCCACATCTCGCTTCTCTCCACCTCCTGTCTCTGCTCTCCTCCTCGTGCGTCTTCGCTCTCACTCTCTTCTCTCTCTCCCCCTCTCTCTCTCTCCTCTCTCCCTTACCTCTTCTCTCTCCTCCTCGCTCTCCTCTCCCCCCTCTCTCTCTCTCCCACCCCTCTCTTCTATCCCCACCCTCTCTCTCTCCCTCTCCCCGCCTCTCCTCTCCCCCCTCTCTCTCCCCTCTCCCCCTCATCCTCTCCTCGTCCCCCCTCCCCCCCTCCTCTCGTTCTCCCCCTCTCTCCTCTCTCTTCCCCTCCCCCTCTCTCTCTCCTCTCTCCCTCGTCCCCCCTTCCTCCCTCTCTCTCCTCTCCTCCTCCCCACCCTCTCTCCTCGTCTCTCCTCCCTCTCCCCCCTCTCCTGCCCCTCTACTCTGCTCTCCTCTTCCTCCTCACTCGCCCTCTCCCCCTCGTCTCCTCCCCTCCTCGCTCCCTCCTCCCTCTCTCCTCGTCCTCCCCCCCTCCGCTCTCCTCCCCCTCTCCCTCTCTCTCTCTCCTCATCCCCCCCCGCCTCCCTCTCCTCTCCCTCGCCCCTCCGTCCCCCTCCCCCCTCTCCATCCTCCCCCCTCTCTCCCCCTGCGTCCCCCCTCCCCCTCTCTCCCCGTCCTCCCTGCCCGACTCCCCTCTCTCCCACCTCTCCTCCCTCCCCCCTTCCTCCCTCCTGCCCCACTCGTCCTCTCTCGACCCCCTCTCCCCCTCTCGCCCTCTCCCTCTCGTCTCTCTCTCTCCTCCCCCCCTCGTCCCTCTCTCTCTCCCCCCCCCTCGCTCCCTCTCCCTCCCCCCCTCTTTCCCTCCCCCTCTCACCTCTCCCCCCCTCCACCCGTCTCCCTCTCCTCCCCCCCATCCCCCCTCTCCCTCCCCCTCCAGTGTCTGCGTACGTTAGTTGGCCATACAGGAGGGGTATGGTCCAGTCAGATGAGTGGTAACATGGTGATCAGCGGGTCGACAGACAGGACTCTGAAGGTTTGGGACGCGGAGAGTGGAGAGTGTGTTTACACCCTGTACGGACACACCTCTACCGTACGCTGCATACACCTGCATGACAAACAGTGAGTTAACCAACACACACCTCTACCGTACGCTGCATACACCTGCATGACAAACAGTGAGTTAACCAACACACACACCTCTACTTACGCTGCATACACCTGCATGACAAACAGTGAGTTAACCAACACACACCCCTCTACCGTACGCTGCATACACCTGCATGACAAACGTGAGTTAACCAACACACCACACCTCTACCGTACGCTGCTACACCTGCATGACAAACAGTGAGTTAACCAACACACACACCTCTACCGTACGCTGCATACACCTGCATGACAAACAGTGAGTTAACCAACACACACCTCTACCGTACGCTGCATACACCTGCATGACAAACAGTGAGTTAACCAACACACACCTCTACCGTATGCTGCATACACCTGCATGACAAACAGTGAGTTAACCAACACACACACCTCTACCGTACGCTGCATACACCTGCATGACAAACAGTGAGTTAACCAACACACACCTCTACCGTACGCTGCATACACCTGCATGACAAACAGTGAGTTAACCAACACACACCTCTACCGTATGCTGCATACACCTGCATGACAAACAGTGAGTTAACCAACACACACACCTCTACTGTACGCTGCATACACCTGCATGACAAACAGTGAGTTAACCAACACACACACCTCTACTGTACGCTCTACACACCAGGGCATTTGAGTCGATGAAAATCGATGAAAATAAACAAATATTCTTACAACACAAGAAAAATATATGTGTGCATTTATCTTTATACCAACAGTGTGGAACAAAGCCTCATTTATTTTAGCCATTACAGATAACACATCCTTATTGCTAAATTGCCCCATTTTATATATTCAGTTAATAAAAAGTGCCATTTAAGATTGATTTATTGAAATCGTAAGATCAACTGGTTATATCTTCCATAAGAGTGGTGCTTGCTTGTAGAAGCCTATGGCTGTGCAATGGCATAGCCTTGTTTTGTTAATTTAGCAGACGATACACTCTGATTTACAGAGCCCTTACCACAGTCAAGACACACATTATGTAATATAACACACACTCATGTGGATACAATCACACTCTACACTCATACACACACACAAACAAACAAACAAACACACCCAAGCTCTACACTCATACGCACACTCATGTACACACACATATGCATACTTTCTCTCTCTCTCACATGACCAACTCGCTTCCACCATGTCTCTGTCTATCCTCATTAGGGCTGTCCCCGACAAAAAATAATAATCTTGGTCAACCCGAAAATAGTCTGTTCTTTCGACCAATCGATTGGTCGACATTTTTGAATGTGTATTTTTCCATATATAGACACACCCTATGTGTTTTAAATAAAATCAACTATATGCATTGAGCTTGTCTGATGCTTTAACCACACTGTTTGATGAAATAAGACAAATGCCTCAAGAGGGAGCCAGAGATCTAGATAACCAGAAGAAAAAACCTTAACCTGACCAAACTATTCTCCCGCTCCTGCTGGCTTTAGCAGATTCTGCCGTTACTCTCCTGAAGTGGCCGGTAATTGGCTGCACGAGGAGTCGGCAACCTTTCTCATGTGGAATGCCAACTTATCTTACCATTTCTACCGATCTGCGTGCCAGTTATGGTTTTCATATGCACATTTTCGTGAAACGGTTTCATTGAATTGATAATAATGTCTTCATATCTCTAAATCATTATCATGTGGTTCATCAACATTCTTTCTAAATCTAAATGAAAATGATACAAATCTAAAAAGTAACTTCCATTGCCAATATGTAAAAATAGCCTCCATAAAGCCAACAAATAAAAACATTGCAGCCTGCAGGTAGAAAATATCCTGTTAAAATAAATATCCTATAAATCACATTGGCTACACATGGCCTGTCTGCAACGAACTTGAAACATTATCAACTGGGTCCGGCCTGAAGCTTGTGCTAGCAAACTTGCAACATTGTATAAAATATTCTGGGCCCTCAGAGCTTCCCACGCCAGTGAGCTCGGGACAGACACTGCTGTAGGCTATTTGCACAAGGGATAAGAAGCAGTGCTTGACTTGGGCCGGAGCTGAGTACCGGCACCTCAAATGTTCTGCTTGAGCTCCTGTGCCTCTTATAGAATAAAAATATTGTGGAACCTAAATATGAACAGTATCAACACCCAAAATGAGTACTCGAACCTATTTCAGTCCAAGTCAAGCACTAATAAGAAGTAATCAGGTAGGCCTATTTTATGACGTTTCCACTGGATCAGAGCATTACATTTTTCCCTTTCACGCTGAGTGGTTATCCAAAGGGAGAGAGCTGGAAAGATTTTTCAAATACACTGAGGAACTATTGTCATTCTCAATGGATGTAAAAACAGACTTCGTTCCCTTGATGTTTGAGGTGAAGAAAACATTACTTTGAGAAGCTCCACAGCTCATTAGTGGTGGTGTGTTAAGCCAATCAGAAATACTATCAGATCCCCAAATGGGCACATTTATAAGCCTACATCTGCATGCAGGCCAGGTAGCCTATAGGCTTACTTCTATGTGTAATCAGGTGTGTGTCATTACTCAACATTGACAGGAACTCTCCAAACAAATAACAACAAAAATTACAAAACTCGCAAATCAAGACATGTTTCTCACAAGTGTAGCATGGGTTGTGCGCTCTGCAAACAACGTGTCCACTCAGACATTGACAAGGGTGAAAGACTGGAATAATAATATATTGAATGCATTAAAATAAATGACCATAACCAAAGTAACAAACATTACAGATTTAGAAATGATTAACGGTATATGTACTACTGGTGATGTATATCAATTCCCCATTACATATATTTACATTTTAGTCATTTAGCAGACGCTCTTATCCAGAGCGACTTACAGTTAGTGAGTGCATACATTTTCATACTGGCCCCCCCCGTGGGAAACGAACCCACAACCCTGGCGTTGCAAGCGCCATGCTCTACCAACTGAGCTACAGGGGACTATACACTAACAATCAAATGCAAACAATTAACACTATGAAGTTGTGAAACAATGAATGTGCACAAATTTGCGGGAGAGACCGCATTCTGGAGAGAGAAGTGCATCATGGTCAATCCGACGTCTCCAGTATTTATGGTGATACGGCTTCAGCAGAAGTCAGGGCATTCGTACTTCTTGCGCTTCGTGGAGCAGAGCAGAGCTGTTGTCAAGGAAGTGAGTTTGTGTTTATACAGGATGTACCACCCCCCACATACCGTCAACCAATCATGTCAATACGGAGCTATGCAGAGCCCTCCACATTGATACATTTTGGAGGCGCATGGGTACTGAGCTCGATTTGGCCTCTGCATGCCTACTTATTTTCCACCATAATTTGCAAATAAATTCATTAAAAATCCTACAATGTGATTTTCTGGGGAAAAAAATCTCAATTTGTCTGTCATAGTTGACGTGTACCTATGATGAAAATTACAGGCCTCTCTCATCTTTTTAAGTGGGAGAACTTGCACAATTGGTGGCTGACTAAATACTTTTTTCCCCCACTGTATGTTGTGTGGATTCTATTCTCTCTAACTCTCCCTCCCTCCCTCTCTCTCCCCTATCTATCTCCCCCCTCCCCCCCCTCTCTCCCTCTCCCTCCTCTTCCCTCTCCTTCCCTCTCTCTCCTCTTCCCTCCCCCTCCTCCTCCCCCTCCTCTCCCCTCTCTCCCCCCAGGGTGGTGAGCGGTAGTCGTGACGCTACGTTGCGTCTGTGGGACGTAGAGTCTGGCGAGTGTCTCCACGTCCTAACGGGTCATGTGGCGGCGGTGCGGTGTGTCCAGTACGACGGGCGCAGGGTGGTCAGCGGTGGATACGACTTCATGGTCAAAGTCTGGGACCCTGAGACGGAGACCTGTCTACACACACTGCAGGGACACACTAACAGAGTCTATTCACTACAGGTAGGAATACACACTAACAGAGTCTATTCACTACAGGTAGGAATATACACACCAACAGAGTCTATTCACTACAGGTAGGAATATACACACTAACAGAGTCTATTCACTACAGGTAGGAATATACACACTAACAGAGTCTATTCACTACAGGTAGGAATATACACACTAACAGAGTCTATTCACTACAGGTAGGAATATACACACTAACAGAGTCTATTCACTACAGGTAGGAATATACACACTAACAGAGTCTATTCACTACAGGTAGGAATATACACACTGACAGAGTCTATTCACTACAGGTAGGAATATACACACGGACAGAGTCTATTCACTACAGGTAGGAATATACACCACTGACAGAGTCTATTCACTACAGGTAGGAATATACACACTAACAGAGTCTATTCACTACAGGTAGGAATATACACACTGACAGTCTATTCACTACAGGTAGGAATATACACACTGACAGAGTCTATTCACTAAACGGTAGGAATATACACACTAAACAGAGTCTATTCACTACAGGTAGGAATATACACCCTAACAGAGTCTATTCACTACAGGTAGGAATATACACACTAACAGAGTCTATTCACTACAGGTAGGAATATACACACTGACAGAGTCTATTTCAACTACAGGTAGGAATATACACACTAACAGAGGTCTATTCACTACAGGTAGGAATATACACACTGACAGAGTCTATTCACTACAGGTAGGAATATACACACTAACAGAGTCTATCCACTACAGGTAGGAATATCACACTGACAGAGTCTATTCACTACAGGTAAGAATATACACACTGACAGAGTCTATTCACTACAGGTAGGAATATACACACTGACAGAGTCTATTCACTACAGGTAGGAATATACACACTGACAGAGTCTATTCACTACAGGTAGGAATATACACACTAACAGAGTCTATTCACTACAGGTAGGAATATACACACTGACAGTCTATTCACTACAGGTAGGAATCTACACACTGACAGAGTCTATTCACTAAAGGTAGGAATATACACACTAACAGAAGTCTATTCACTACAGGTAGGAATATACACCTAACAGAGTCTATTCACTACAGGTAGGATATACACACTAACAGAGTCTATTCACTACAGGTAGGAATATACACACTGACAGAGTCTATTCACTACAGGTAGGAATATACACACTAACAGAGTCTATTCACTACAGGTAGGAATATACACACTGACAGAGTCTATTCACTACAAGGTAGGAATATACACACCAACAGAGTATATTCACTACAGTAGGAATATACACACTAACAGAGTCTATTCACTACAGGTAGGAATATACACACTACAGAGTCTATTCACTACAGGTAGGAATATACACACTAACAGAGTCTATTCACTACAGGTAGGAATATACACACTGACAGAGTCTATCACTACAGGTAGGAATATACACACTAACAGAGTCTATTCACTACAGGTAGGAATATACACACTAACAGAGTCTATTCACTACAGGTAGGAATATACACCACTAACAGAGTCTATTCACTACAGGTAGGAATATACACACTAACAGAGTCTATTCACTACAGGTAGGAATATCACACACTAACAGAGTCTATTCACTACAGGTAGGAATATACACACTAACAGAGTCTATTCACTACAGGTAGGAATATACACATGACAGAGTCTATTCACTACAGGTAGGAATATACACACTGACAGAGTCTATTCACTACAGGTAGGAATATACACACTGACAGAGTCTATTCACTACAGTAGGAATATACACACTGACAGAGTCTATTCACTACAGGTAGGAATATACACACTAACAGAGTCTATTCACTACAGGTAGGAATATACACACTGACAGTCTATTCACTACAGTAGGAATATAACACACTGACAGAGTCTATTCACTAAAGGTAGGAATATACACACTAACAGAGTCTATTCACTACAGGTAGGAATATACACACTAACAGAGTCTATTCACTACAGGTAGGAATATACCACACTAACAGAGTCTATTCACTACAGGTAGGAATATACACACTGACAGAGTCTATTCACTACGGTAGGAATATCCACACTAACAGAGTCTATTCACTACAGGTAGGAATATACCACAACTGCAGAGTCTATTCACTACAGGTAGGAATATACCACACTGACAGAGTCTATTCACTACAGGTAGGAATATACACACCAACAGATCTATTCACTACAGGTAGGAATATACACACTAACAGAGCTATTCACTACAGGTAGGAATATACACACTAACAGAGTCTATTCACTACAGGTAGGAATATACACACTGACAGAGTCTATTCACTACAGGTAGAATATACACACTGACAGAGTCTATTCACTACAGGTAGGAATATACACACTAACAGAGTCTATTCACTACAGGTAGGAATATACACACCAACAGAGTCCTTTCACTACAGGGAGGAATAACACACTGACAGAGTCTATTCACTACAGGTAGGAATAACACACTAACAGAGTCTATTCCTACAGGTAGGAATATACACACTAAGAGTCTATTCACTACAGGTAGGAATATCACACTAACAGAGTCTATTCACTACAGGTAGGAATATACACACTAACAGAGTCTATTCACTACAGGTAGGAATATACACACTGACAGAGTCTATTAAACTACAGGTAGGAATATACACACTAACAGAGCCCTATTCACTACAGGTAGGAATACCCCACTAACAGAGTCTATTCACCTACAGGTAGGAATATACACAAACTGCAGGGACACACTAACAGAGTCTATTCACTACAGGTAGGAATATACAACACTAACAGAGTCTATTCACTACAGGTAGGAAATATACACACTGCAGGGACACACTAACAGAGTCTATTCACTACAGGTAGGAATATACACACTAACAGAGTCTATTCACTACAGGTAGGAATATACACACCAACAGAGTCTATTCACTACAGGTAGGAATATACACACCAACAGAGTCTATTCACTACAGGTAGGAATATACACACTAACAGAGTCTATTCACTACAGGTAGGAATATACACACTAACAGAGTCTTTCACTACAGGTAGGAAATACACACCAACAGAGTCTATTCACTACAGGTAGGAAAATACACACCAACAGAGTCATATCACCTACAGGTAGGAATATACACACTAACAGAGTCTATTCACTACAGGTAGGAATATACACACTAACAGAGTCTATTCACTACAGGTAGGAATATACACACTGACAGAGTCTATTCACTACAGGTAGGAATATACACACTGACAGAGTCTATTCACTACAGGTAGGAATATACACACTGACAGAGTCTATTCACTACAGGTAGGAATATACACACTGACAGAGTCTATTCACTACAGGTAGGAATATACACACTACAGAGTCTATTCACTACAGGTAGGAATATACACACTAACAGAGTCTATTCACTACAGGTAGGAATATACACACTGCAGGGGACACATAACAGAGTCTATTCACTACAGGTAGGAATATACACACTAACAGAGTCTATTCACTACAGGTAGGAATATACCACACTAACAGAGTCTATTCACTACAGGTAGGAATATACACACTGCAGGGACACACTAACAGAGTCTATTCACTACAGGTAGGAATATACACACTAACAGAGTCTATTCACTACAGGTAGGAATATACACACTAACAGAGTCTATTCACTACAGGTAGGAATATACACACCAACAGAGTCTATTCACTACAGGTAGGAATATACACACCAACAGAGTCTGATTCACTACAGGTAGGAATATACACACTAACAGAGTCTATTCACTACAGGTAGGAATATACACACTAACAGAGTCTATTCACTACAGGTAGGAATATACACACTGACAGAGTCTATTCACTACAGGTAGGAATATACACACTGACAGAGTCTATTCACTACAGGTAGGAATATACACACTGACAGAGTCTATTCACTACAGGTAGGAATATACACACTGACAGAGTCTATTCACTACAGGTAGGAATATACACACTAACAGAGTCTATTCACTACAGGTAGGAATATACACACTAACAGAGTCTATTCACTACAGGTAGGAATATACACACTGACAGAGTCTATTCACTACAGGTAGGAATATACACACTGACAGAGTCTATTCACTACAGGTAGGAATATACACACTACAGGGACACACTAACAGAGTCTATTCACTACAGGTAGGAATATACACACCAACAGAGTCTATTCACTACAGGTAGGAATATACACACTGACAGAGTCTATTCACTACAGGTAGGAATATACACACTGACAGTCTATTCACCACAGGTAGGAATATACACACTACAGGGACACACTAACAGAGTCTATTCACTACAGGTAGGAATATACACACTACAGGGACACACTAACAGAGTCTATTCACTACAGGTAGGAATATACACACTAACAGAGTCTATTCACTACAGGTAGGAATATACACACTAACAGAGTCTATCCACTACAGGTAGGAATATACACACTAACAGAGTCTATTCACTACAGGTAGGAATATACACACTGCAGGGACACACTAACAGAGTCTATTCACTACAGGTAGGAATATACACACCAACAGAGTCTATTCACTACAGGTAGGAATATACACACTGACAGAGTCTATTCACTACAGGTAGGAATATACACACTGACAGAGTCTATTCACTACAGGTAGGAATATACACACTAACAGAGTCTATTCACTACAGGTAGGAATATACACACTGACAGAGTCTATTCACCACAGGTAGGAATATACACACTAACAGAGTCTATTCACTACAGGTAGGAATATACACACTGACAGAGTCTATTCACTACAGGTAGGAATATACACACTAACATAGTCTATTCACCACAGGTAGGAATATACACACTAACAGAGTCTATTCACTACAGGTAGGAATATACACACTGACAGAGTCTATTCACTACAGGTAGGAATATACACACTAACAGAGTCTATTCACTACAGGTAGGAATATACACACTAACAGAGTCTATCCACTACAGGTAGGAATATACACACTAACAGAGTCTATTCACTACAGGTAGGAATATACACACTAACAGAGTCTATTCACTACAGGTAGGAATATACACACTAACAGAGTCTATTCACTACAGGTAGGAATATACACACTAACAGAGTCTATTCACTACAGGTAGGAATATACACACTAACAGAGTCTATCCACTACAGGTAGGAATATACACACTGACAGTCTATTCACTACAGGTAGGAATATACACACTAACAGAGTCTATTCACTACAGGTAGGAATATACACACTAACAGAGTCTATTCACTACAGGTAGGAATATACACACTAACAGAGTCTATTCACTACAGGTAGGAATATACACACTAACAGAGTCTATTCACTACAGGTAGGAATATACACACTGACAGAGTCTATTCACTACAGGTAGGAATATACACACTGACAGAGTCTATTCACTATAGGTAGGAATATACACACTTCTGAACCGGTTCATATAGTTGCTTTTCGTTAATTGTTTGTCTTGTAAAATCAACATTTGTTTTTACATTTAGCTGATTAATTTCCTTCACCAATTAGCGTGGATAGAGCAGCTTGCTATGGAATGGGTAAGCTAGTTGTTTACATGATGAGACTGAAGTTTCACGGCTGGGGAGATAGTGAGAGAGAGGGGTGGACATGGAAGGGGTGAACATCATGACGTGAACTATTACTACCATCAAAACTTCACTAGATGGAATATTGTTGGAACAGAAAATAACAATATTAATGGATGAAAATAATGGTTCTGTTCCGGAATACTAAAGATCACGGTTCTGTTTCCGTTCCTCTGAAAATGTTGTTATGAACCGGTTCCAACCCCTGGTTAGAACACACCCACACACAACTGACTTCCTGGAATCTCCCGGTCTCTATCTCCTCTTCTCCTCTCTGGTCTGTAGTTAATTGTTATTGTGTTTCACTTCTAATCTTCCTCCTCCTCTCCTCCAGTTTGACGGTGTCTACGTGGTCAGTGGATCTCTGGACACCTCCATCAGAGTATGGGACATAGAGACAGGGGGGTGTGTCCACACGCTGACCGGCCACCAATCACTGACCAGTGGTATGGAACTAAAGAACAACATCCTGGTCTCTGGCAACGCGGACTCTACTGTCAGGGTGTGGGATATACGGACAGGACAGTGTCTCCACACACTACAAGGTGAGATTATACAAACTGTATATACAGCAGTATGTGGACATCCCCATTAGTGGATTCGGCTATTTCAGCCACACCTGTTGCTGACAGGTGTATAAAATCGAGCACACATCCATGCAATCTCCATAGTAAATCATTGACAGTAGAATGGCCTTACTGAAAAGCTCAGTGACTTTCAACGTGTCACCGTCATAGGTTGCCACCTTTCCATCAAGTCAGTCTGTCAAATTTCTGCCCTGCTAGAGCTGCCCCGGTCAACTGTAAGTGCTGTTATTGTGAAGTGGAAACGTCTAGGAGCAACAACGGCTCAGCCGCGAAGTGGTAGGCCACACAAGCTCACAGAACGGGACCGCCGAGTGCTAAAGTGTGTAAAAATGGTCTGTCCTCGGTTGCAACACTCACTACCGAGTTCCAAACTGCCTCTGGAAGCAATGTCAGAACAATAACTATTCGTCGGGAGCTCCATGAAATGGGTTTCCATGGCCGAGCAGCCGCACACAAGCCTAAGATCACCATGTGCAATGCCAAGCGTCAGCTGGAGTGGTGTAAAGCTCGCCGCCATTGGACTCTGGAGCAGTGGAAACGTGTTCTCTGGGGTGTTGAATCACACTTCACCATCTGGCAGTCCGACGGACAAATCTGGTTTTGGCGGATGCCAAGAAAACGCTACCTGCCAGAATGTATAGTGCCGAATGTAAAGTTTGGTGGAGGAGGAATAATGGTCTGGGACTGTTTTTCATTGTTCGCACTAGGCCCCTTAGTTCCAGTGAAGGGAAATCTTAACGCTACAGCATACAATGACATTCTAGATGATTCTGGCCTTCCAACTTTGTGGCAACAGTTTGGGAAAGTGGTTTGTCGTGATCGGTGGGGAAGAACTTGACTGGCCTGCACAGAGCCCTGACCTCAACCCCATCTAACACATTTGGGATGAATTGAAACGCTGACTGCGAGCCAGGCATAATCGCCCAACATCAGTGCCCGACCTCACTAATGCTCTTGTGGCTGAATGGAAGCAAGTCCCAACAGCAATGTTCCAACATCTAGTGGAAAGCCTTCCCAGAAGAGTGGAGGCTGTTATAGCAGCAAAGGGGGGACCAACTCCATATTAATGCCTATGATTTTGGAATAAGATGTTCGATGAGCAGGTGTCCACATACTTTTGATGATGTAGTGTACACACACTGAAGTATCTCTAAAGGATACAGTCGTGGTCAAACGTTTTGAGAATGACACAAATATTAATTTTCACAAAGTCTGCTGCCTCAGTTTTTATGATGGCAATTTACATATACTCCAGAATGTTATGAAGAGTGATCAGATGAATTGCAATTAATTGCAAAGTCCCTCTTTGCCATGAAAATGAACTTAATCCCCAAAAAACATTTCCACTGCATTTCAGCCCTGCCACAAAAGGACCAGCTGCCGTCATGTCAGTGATTCTCTCGTTAACACAGGTGAGAGTGTTGACGAGGACAAGGCCGGAGATCACTGTCATGCTGATTGAGTTAGAATAACAGACTGGAAGCTTTAGAAGGAGGGTGGTGCTTGAAATCATTGTTCTTCCTCTGTTAACCATGGTTACCTGCAAGGAAACACATGCCGTCATCATTGCTTTGCACAAAAAGGGCTTCACAGGCAAGGATATTGCTGCTAGTAAGATTGCACCTAAATCAACCATTTATCAAATCATCAAGAACTTCAAGGAGAGAGGTTCAATTGTTGTGAAGAAGGCTTCAGGGCGCCCAAGAAAGTCCAGCAAGTGCCAGGAACGTCTCCTAAAGTGGTCCTCTGTAGCTCAGCTGGTAGAGCACGGCGCTTGTAACGCCAAGGTAGTGGGTTCGATCCCCGGGACCACACGTACACAAAAAAAAAAAATTTATGCACGCATGACTGTAAGTCGCTTTGGATAAAAGCGTCTGCTAAATGGCATATTATTATATTATTCAGCTGCGTGATCGGGGCACCACCAGTGCAGAGCTTGCTCAGGAATGGCAGCAGGCAAGTGTGAGTGCATCTGCACGCACAGTGAGGCAAAGACTTTTGGAGGATGGCCTGGTGTCAAGAAGGGCAGCGAGGAAGCCACTTCTCTCCAGGAAAAATCATCAGGGACAGACTGATATTCTGCAAAAGGTACAGGGATTGGACTGCTGAGGACTGGGGTAAATTCATTTTCTCTGATGAATCCCCTTTCCGATTGTTTGGGCGTCCGGAAAAAAGCTTGTCCAGAGAAGACAAGGTGAGCGCTACCATCAGTCCTGTGTCATGCCAACAGTAAAGCATCCTGAGACCATTCATGTGTGGGGTTGCTTCTCAGCCAAGGGAGTGGGCTCACTCACAATTTTGCCTAAGAACGCAGCCATGAATAAAGAATGGTACCAACACATCCTCCGAGAGCAACTTCTCCCAACCATCCACGAACAGTTTGGTGACGAACAATGCCTTTTCCAGCATGATGGAGCACCTTGCCATAAGGCAAAAGTGATAACTAAGTGGCTCGGGGAACAAAACATTGACATTTTGGGTCCATGGCCAGGAAACTCCCCAGACCTTAATCCCATTGAGAACTTGTGGTCAATCCTCAAGAGGCGGGTGGACAAACAAAAACCCACAAATTCTGGCAAACTCCAAGCATTGATTATGCAAGAATGGGCTGCCATCAGTCAGGATGTGGCCCAGAAGTTAATTGACAGCATGCCAGGGCGGATTGCAGAGGTCTTGAAAAAGAAGGGTCAACACTGCAAATATTGACTCTTTACATAAACCTAATGTAATTGTCAATAAAAGCCTTTGACACTTATGGAATGCTTGTAATTATACTTCAGTATACCATAGTAACATCTGACAAAAATATCTAAAAACACTGAAGCAGCAAACTTTTTGGAGACCAATACTTGTGTAATTCTCAAAACTTTTGACCACGACTCTGGACTCTACTGTCAGGCTCTGGGATATCAGGACGGAGTGTTAAAGAAAGGACATTAAGGAGATGAGGGGGGGGGGGTTGAGAGCTGAAGGTCTCGTTAGTAACAGTGTTATTAAAAGTATTATTGAAACATGTTCTCCGAACGTTATTTAATTACCTTCAAATAACCTATAATTTCCGTTCTCAGAACGTTAATTAAACCTCCCAAGAAAACGTTCAGGGAACCATAGAAAAACGTTCTCAGAACCTCCCTGCAACCAAAAAATGTATGTTCCCAAAACAGGCAAAATGTTCACTTCTGTTCTCAGAACGTTTCCGTCTTACCGGTCAGGAAACCTATGGGTTCGTTTCCAGAACCAATGGGAAACCAAAAACGTACGTTCCCACAACTTCCAAGGAACCAAATGTGCTTGCTGGATCTCTCTCTCTCTCTCTCTCTCTCTCTCTATCTCTCTATCTCTCTATCTCTCTATCTCTCTATCTCTATCTCTCTATCTCTATCTCTATCTCTATCTCTATCTCTATCTCTATCTCTATCTCTATCTCTCTCTCTCTCTCTCTCTCTCTCTCTCTCTCTTCTCTCTCTCTCTCTCTCTCCTCTCTCTCTCTCTCTCTCCTCTCTCTCTCTCTCTCTCTCTCTCTCTCTGTCTCATCTTATTCTGTCTATATATCTCCCATCTATCTTCTATCCATCTATCTATCGGACACCCATAAGCCCAAAATCGGCAAAATAACCTGTCTCCAGTTCCCCTACTATAACTAACTCTTTCTCTTCTCCTCTTTTTCTCCCCCCTCCTCTCCTCTCAATTCAAATTCAATTTAAGGGCTTTATTGGCTTGGGAAACATATGTTAACATTGCCAAAGCAAGTGAAGTAGATGGCAAACAAAAGTGAAATAAATATTAACAGTAAACATTACACTCAGAAGTTCCAAAAATAAAGAAACGATAAATGATAAGTCCGCCTCTCCCTCTCGTTCTCCTCCCTCCTCTCCCCTTTTCCCCGGATCCAGCACCCGGCCCCCTAACCTCATCCTCCCTCGCTCGTCTCTCTCTACTCCTCTCCTCTCCTCTCCTCTCCTCTCTCTTTCTCCTCCTCTCCCCTCTCTTTCCTCTCCTCTCTCTCTCCAGGTCCCCATAAGCACCAGTCGGCAGTAACCTGTCTCCAGTTCTCTCGCTCCCTGGTGGTCTCTTCATCAGATGACGGTACAGTGAAGCTGTGGAGCCTGGCGACGGGGGAGTGGCTCAGAGGACCTGGTGGCTCTGCAGAGTGGAGGATCTGGGGGAGTGGTCTGGAGGATCAGGTAAAGGACTAGGAAAACCACACACACACCACACACACACACCATGTACACACAACATGTACACACACCATGTACACACACCATACACACACACCATACACACAGGAGTGGCTCAGAGACCTGGTGGCTCTGCAGAGTGGAGCCTCTCTCCAGGGCGTCTAACACCAGACTGGTAACACTAACCCTCTCTCTCTCCTCTCTCTCCAGGGTGTCTAACACTAGACTGGTAACACTAAACCCTCTCTCTCTCCTTCTCCAGGGCGTCTAACACCAGACTGGTAACACTAACCCTCTCCTACTCTCTCCAGGGTGTCTAACACCAGACTGGTAACACTAACCCTCTCTCTCTCCTCTCTCCAGGGTGTCTAAAACCAGACTGGTAACACAACCCTCTCTCTCTCCTCTCCCAGGGTTTTCTAACACCAGACTGGTAACACTAACCCCTCTTTCCTCTCTTCAAGGGTGTCTAACAAAAGACGGGGTAACACTAACCCTCTCTTCTCCTCTACCCAGGGTGGTCTAACACCAGACTGGTAACACTAACCCTCTCTCTCCTCTCTCCAGGGTGTCCTAACACCAGACTGGTAGCACTAACCCTCTCTCTCTCCTCTCTCCAGGGTGTCTAACACCAGACTGGTAACACTAACCTCTTCTCTCCTCTCTCCAGGGTGTCTAACACCAGACTGGTAACACTAACCCTCTCTCTCTCCTCTCTCCAGGGTGTCTAACACCAGACGGGTAACACAACCCTCTCTCTCTCCTCTTCCAGGGCGTCTAACACCAGACTGGTAACACTAACCCTCTCTCCCCTCTTCCAGGGTTTTCTAACACCAGACTGGTAACACAAAACCCTTCTCTCTCCTCTCTCCAGGGTGTCTAACACCAGACTGGTAACACTAACCCCTCTCTTCCTCTCTCCAGGGTCTAACCACCAGACTGGTAACACAACCTCTCTCTCTCCTCTCTCACAGGGCGTCTAACACCAGACTGGTAACACTAACCCTCTCTCTCTCCTCTCTCCAGGGTGTCTAACACCAGACTGCGTAACACTAACCTCTCTCTCTCCTCTCTCCAGGGTGTCTAACACCAGAATGGTAACACTAACCCTCTCTCTCTCCTCTCTCCAGGGTGTATAACACCAGACTGGCTAACACTAACCCTCTCTCTCCTCTCTCCAGGGTGTCTAACACCAGACTGGTAACACTAACCCTCTCTCTCCTCTCTCCAGGGTGTCTAACACCAGACTGGTAACACTAACCCTCTCTCTTCCTCTCTCCAGGGTGTCTAACACCGATGGTAACACTAAACCCTCTCTCTCTCCTCCTCTCCAGGGGCGTCTAACAACCAGAACTGGTAACCACTAACCCTCTCTCTCCTCTCTCCAGGGTGTCTAACACCAGACTGGTAGCAGCAGTTGGCAGCAGGAACGGGACAGAGGAGACTAAACTCATGGTGCTGGACTTTGATCTCACTGACAACCACAAGTGATGTCATCGAAGAGGGACAGGGTTTCATCAGGAGAGGATGTCATGTCATTGGATAAGGATGTGAAGTAATCGAAGAGGGACCCAATATCCTCATACGGGGACGGAAAACTTGTGATGATGAGGAAAGTGGTTAGGAGGAGGTAAGACAGAGGACAATGTAACAATCCCCCTATGGAAGGACTGAGTGTCATTGTATCTGGAGATGTCAATATACCACCAGGAGATGACTCCAAAATGTCCCCTCTTTCCTCACCACAACACTGGGTAACCAAACCCCCATCTTTTCTTTCTGACCTAAAACTCTGCTTGACACTGGTATACTGGTGAAGAGACGGTACTTTGAGTCTTCTGTGACTGGAGGAAACCAGGAGAGGACTCATTAAGGCTATACGACTGACTGACAGGCCTAACGGACTGACGGACTGACTGACAGGCCTACCGACCTGACGGACTGACTGACAGGCCTACCGACCTGACGGACTGACTGACAGGCCTACCGACCTGACGGACTGACTGACTGACCGACTGCCCAAAGGCCAAACTGAGTGACCCAGACTACTGCAGGATGTATAGACTGTAACTCCACCCAGACTACTACAAGGATGTATAGACTGTTAACTCCACCCAGACTACTACAGGATGTATAGACTGTGTATGAGGCCAGACTACTACAGGGATGTATAGACTGTAACTCCACCCAGACTACTACAGGATGTATAGACTGTAACTCCACCCAGACTACTACAGGATGTATAGACTGTGTATGAGGCCAGACTACTACAGGATGTATAGACTGTAACTCCACCCAGACTACTGCAGGATGTATAGACTGTAACTCCACCCAGACTACTGCAGGATGTATAGACTGTAACTCCACCCAGACTACTGCAGGATGTATAGACTGTGTATGAGGCCAGACTAATCAGGATGTATAGACTGTAAAATCCACCAGACTACTGCAGGATGTATAGACTGTAACTCACCCAGACTACTACAGGATGTATAGACTGTGTATGAGGCCCGACTACTACAGGAGTATAGACTGTAACTCCACCCAGACTACTGCAGGTGTATAGACGTAACTCCACCCCGGGCTCTACAGGATGTATAGACTGTAACTCCACCCAGACTACTACAGGATGGAATAGACTGTAACTCCACCCAGCTACTACAGGATGTATAGACTGTAACTCCACCCAGATACTACAGGATGTATAGATGTGTATGAGGCCAGACTACTACAGGATTTTTATAAATGTAACTCCACCCAGACTACTGCAGGATGTATAGACTGTGATGAGGCCAGGGCTACTGCAGGATGTATAGACTGTAAACTCCACCCAGACTACTGCAGGATGTTATAGACTGTAACTCCACCAGACTACTACAGGATGTATAGACTGTAACTCCACCCAGACTACTGCAGGATGTATAGACTGTAACTCCACCCAGACTACTACAGGATGTATAGACTAACTCCACCCAGACTACTACAGGATGTATAGACTGTGACTCCACCCAGACTACTGCAGGATGTATAGACTGTGTATGAGGCCAGACTACTACAGGATGTATAGACTGTAACTCCACCCAGACTACTACAGGATGTATAGACTGTGACTCCACCCAGACTACTACAGGATGTATAGACTGTAACTCCACCCAGACTACTACAGGATGTATAGACTGTAACTCCACCCAGACTACTGCAGGATGTATAGACTGTGTATGAGGCCAGACTACTACAGGATGTATAGACTGTAACTCCACCCAGACTACTACAGGATGTATAGACTGTAACTCCACCCAGACTACTACAGGATGTATAGACTGTAACTCCACCCAGACTACTGCAGGATGTATAGACTGTGTATGAGGCCAGACTACTACAGGATTGTATAGACTGTAACTCCACCCAGACTACTACAGGATTGTATAGGACTGGTATGAGGCCAGACTACTACAGGATGTATAGACTGTAACTCCACCCAGACTACTACAGGATGTATAGACTGTAACTCCACCCAGACTACTAACAGGATGTATAGACTGTTGACTCCACCCAGACTACTACAGGATGTATAGACTGTAAACTCCACCCAGACTACTACAGGATGTATAGACTGTGACTCCACCCAGGACTACTACAGGATGTATAGACTTGTAACTCCACCCAGACTACTGCAGGATGTATAGACTGGTATGAGGCCAGGACTACGCAGGATGTATAGACTGTAACTCCACCCAGACTACTACAGGATGTATAGACTGTAACTCCACCCAGGACTACTGCAGGATGTTATAGACTGTGTTATGAGGCCAGACTACTACCAGGATGTATAGACTGTAACTCCACCCAGACTACTGCAGGATGTATAGACTGTAACTCCACCCAGACTACTACAGGATGTATAGACTGTAACTCCACCCAGACTACTGCAGGATGTATAGACTGTGTATGAGGCCAGACTACTGCAGGATGTATAGACTGTAACTCCACCCAGACTACTGCAGGATGTATAGACTGTAACTCCACCCAGACTACTGCAGGATGTATAGACTGTGTATGAGGCCAGACTACTGCAGGATGTATAGACTGTAACTCCACCCAGACTACTGCAGGATGTATAGACTGTGTATGAGGCCAGACTACTGCAGGATGTATAGACTGTAACTCCACCCAGACTACTGCAGGATGTATAGGACTGTAACTCCACCCAGACTACTACAGGATGTATAGACTGTGTATGAGGCCAGACTACTGCAGGATGTATAGACTGTAACTCCACCCAGACTACTGCAGGATGTATAGACTGTAACTCCACCCAGACTACTGCAGGATGTATAGACTGTAACTCCACCCAGACTACTACAGGATGTATAGACTGTAACTCCACCCAGACTACTGCAGGATGTATAGACTGTAACTCCACCCAGACTACTGCAGGATGTATAGACTGTAACTCCACCCAGACTACTGCAGGATGTATAGACTGTAACTCCACCCAGACTACTGCAGGATGTATAGACTGTAACTCCACCCAGACTACTGCAGGATGTATAGACTGTAACTCCACCCAGACTACTGCAGGATGTATAGACTGTGTATGAGGCCAGACTACTACAGGATGTATAGACTGTAACTCCACCCAGACTACTACAGGATGTATAGACTGTGTATGAGGCCAGACTACTACAGGATGTATAGACTGTAACTCCACCCAGACTACTACAGGATGTATAGACTGTGTATGAGGCCAGACTACTGCAGGATGTATAGACTGTAACTCCACCCAGACTACTGCAGGATGTATAGACTGTAACTCCACCCAGACTACTGCAGGATGTATAGACTGTAACTCCACCCAGACTACTACAGGATGTATAGACTGTGTATGAGGCCAGACTACTGCAGGATGTATAGACTGTAACTCCACCCAGACTACTACAGGATGTATAGACTGTAACTCCACCCAGACTACTACAGGATGTATAGACTGTAACTCCACCCAGACTACTGCAGGATGTATAGACTGTAACTCCACCCAGACTACTACAGGATGTATAGACTGTAACTCCACCCAGACTACTGCAGGATGTATAGACTGTAACTCCACCCAGACTACTGCAGGATGTATAGACTGTAACTCCACCCAGACTACTACAGGATGTATAGACTGTAACTCCACCCAGACTACTACAGGATGTATAGACTGTAACTCCACCCAGACTACTGCAGGATGTATAGACTGTGTATGAGGCCAGACTACTGCAGGATGTATAGACTGTAACTCCACCCAGACTACTACAGGATGTATAGACTGTAACTCCACCCAGCTACTACAGGTGTATAGACTGTAACTCCACCAGACTACTGAGGGATAGACTGTAACTCCACCCAGACTACTGCAGGATGTATAGACTGTAACTCCACCCAGACTACTGCAGGATGTATAGACTGTGTTGAGGCAGACTACTGCAGGATGTATAGACTGTAACTCCACCCAGATACGCAGGAGTAAGACTGTAACTCCAAACCCAGACTACTACAGGGTGGGATAGACTGTGTATGAGGCCAGACTACGCAGGATGTTAGACTGTAACTCCACCCAGACTACTACAGGATGTATAGACTGTAACTCCACCCAGACTACTGCAGGATGTATAGACTGTGTATGAGGCCAGACTACGCAGGATGTATAGACTGTAACTCCACCCAGGGCTACTACAGGATTTTATAGACTGTAAAATCCACCCAGACTACTGCAGGATGATGACTGTGTATGAGGCCCGACTACTACAGGATGTATGACTGTAACTCCACCCAGACTAATACAGGAGTATAGACTGTAACTCCACCCAGATAAATGCAGGATATAGACTGTAACTCCACCCAGACTACTACAGGATGTATAGACTGTACTCCACCCAGACTACTGCAGGATGTATAGACTGTAACTCCACCCAGAATTACTGCAGGATGTATAGACTGTAACTCCACCCCAGACTACTACAGGATGTATAGACTGTAACTCCACCCAGACTACTGCAGGATGTATAGACTGTGTATGAGGCCAGACTACTACAGGATGTATAGACTGTAACTCCACCCAGACTACTACAGGATGTATAGACTGTAACTCCACCCAGACTACTGCAGGATGTATAGACTGTAACTCCACCCAGACTACTACAGGATGTATAGACTGTAACTCCACCCAGACTACTGCAGGATGTATAGACTGTGTATGAGGCCAGACTACTACAGGATGTATAGACTGTAACTCCACCCAGACTACTGCAGGATGTATAGACTAACTCCACCCAGACTACTACAGGATGTATAGACTGTGTATGAGGCCAGACTACTACAGGATGTATAGACTGTAACTCCACCCAGACTACTGCAGGATGTATAGACTGTAACTCCACCCAGACTACTGCAGGATGTATAGACTGTGTATGAGGCCAACTACTACAGGATGTATGACTGTAACTCCA